TTTTCAGGGGACCCCCTGTGGATCCCTGCCCAAATAACTCAGATCACAGGCCCCCGCTCCAACCACCTAGTAACCACAGATGGGAGAGCATGGAAACACCACATTGACCAGCTACGCTCCCAGCTGACCACATCTCCCATCAGTGACCCCAACCACGAAACCAGAGGGGGAGGGGAAACCACGGGTTGTGGAATAGAACCAACATCTAGCCTAGAAGAACAAACCCCACGATCCCCACACCAAAACCTACAATACTCACCAGCTGAAGTAGAGCCTTGGCAAACGGACGTTTCACCTAGAAACAACAGCCGAGCAGGTTCGGTGAGCCCTGGGAGCCCAAGCGGTAGCAACGAAGCGGGCGACTCAACTGTCCCGAGGTCACCAGATGGGAGTCACAGCTATGGAACCGGCTCACTGTCCCAGGCAATCCCAGCAAGCAGCCCGTCAGAACCCGAGACCGAACACAGGCATTTGGAACTACGCAAGTCAGGTAGACAGGTGTGAAGACCCACCTACCTGCGAGACTACATAACCCCACCCCTTAGACGGAACCTAGAGGGGAGGGGTGTTCCGGACTAGCAGGCTTGTAAGCCTGCAATTTGGATTGATCCTCTGGCAGCGGGTCGTGATTGGTCGCCTCAGACTGATCCGATTGGCTAGTTAGCGGGCTGCCGTGATTGGGCTAACCAAGCACGGCAAACTCAAATCACCGTCATTGGCTGCCTAGCCGAAGCCAGCCCTATATAAGGGGCTGCTGCGGCTGGGATATTTCACTCAGTTCTGAAGTCACTAATAAAGAGCTGTTGTTGCTATCTGAGTCTTGTCTCCGTTCTTGGACCCATCCTCCCAGATCTACCACCAATCAGGGGTCGGATTCGACAGGGTTAACTACCAGTTCGGTCATTTACAACAGTGGCCCCCAACCTTTTTTGTGCCACAGCCCGGTACCGGCATCACAAAATGATCCGTGGCCCGGTACCGGCATCAGCATGCATGGCAAGGCGAGCCGAGCGACCAGCCAGCCAGCCATCTCCCGCTTCTCCCCGCCACCTTCAACTCCTCCTTTGTACCTTTGTCGATGGGCTTCGGGACGGCTTTGGGATGGTCGCTCGGCTCGCCTTGCCTTGGGTGCTGAAAGAATCCTTGCACCTTAGTTTTGTTCGAAGCCGCCCCCCCCCCCCTTCGATGAAACTAAGGTGTGAGGATTCCTTCAGGACCCAAACGCCACTTTCCAACTGGAAAAGCTCACCGGAAGCACTTTCTCATCAAAACAAGATGGCGGCACCCAGCAAACCGGCGGCCCAGTAGAAAATGTTCCACGGACCGGTACCGGTCCGCGGCCCGGTGGTTGGGGACCCCTGATTTACAAGGTTCAGTGATTTACGATGTGCTTCCCTGTACACTGCCAGTGCACCTGTAAATTGTCATCAGCATGCTGCATGCAAGAGAAGCAGCCTTTCAAAAAGCCCCTTTTTCCTGCTTTTTAAACTGCAGCTGTGCCTCGTACAGCAGCTGAAGTTGAAAAAAATCAGGACATAAGGGTCAGGTAAAAGCCGGGGTTGGCTGCTCTTCAGAGCTACCGGTTCTACAGAGGTGGACAGAACCGGTAGAAACCCACCCCTGGACCCAACCTATAATTTAAGAGAAATATTCTGAGAGTGAAAACAGGCTGAATAGCTTGTCTCCTGGAGTTGTCAGTGCTCCATAAGTGGAGATTTTCAGAAATATATTCGACAACCATTTGACTAGAATGGAATAAGGTCTCCTCCTACCTTGGACTGGAAGATTTCTGTGTTCTCTTCCAGTCATATGATTCTATCAATTTCCCCTCTTGCACATGAGTTCTTGTAGTCTTCACCTATGCTCTGCTAGATAATATGAGGAGGATGAAGTTAGCTGATGCAACTTCCCTAGCTTACTAGCACTGCCATAGCCAGAACATTAAATGCTGAAATCATTATGGCAACACATATTTCCTCTAAGTCAATATTATACTATGCAAGTTGCATAAAGGCAGTTTCATAATCATTCTAATAATTATTTCACAATGATTATGAAATCTATTGATTTCAGTAGTTGCATATCACTAGAATTTTTCCTTTGAATTATAGGAGCTTCGGTATTGAAAAATATTTTTTGATTAGTTGATCTCTAGTGTATTTAGTATGGTATGTGTAATTTCAAATTTTCTGATATTTCCTCTTTTTAAGAAAATGTTCTGGAATAGCTGAAGTGACTATCTGAAATTCTTAAGCAAAGTTCACAGAAGTATACAACTTTACACATCATGTTTTTTGTTTCATCTACATTAACAGTCTATTCCACATATATAAGTTGCAAAAACAGAATAAATTTTATTCTACAAATGTATCTTTAAACTATATCACATATTTGAAATTACAAATATTGTATAAGTACATAAGATTGTGATGAGATGGGGGCAAACAAATTTAACAAGCAAACAAAAAAATAAATACCATATTTTTTGGAGTATAAGAGGCACCTAACTTTTGGGGAGGAAAATAAAAAAAATCTGCCTCTGCCTCCCACAGTTTGCCTCCTTGCAGCAAACAGTCTGTTTCAGCTTTAGCACAGCCTGATTAGCACAAGCAGCTGATTGTCAGTTCGATTGGCCTTCCAACGATCAGCTGTTTCAGGCTGCAGGGATTGCCATTGTCTATTTCCACTTCCAGGCGCCCTATTTCAGCCTCCACAACCCATTTTTGGCCTCCGCGTGCCCCACTTTCCACCTATTCTGATCCCCACCGCCCAGAACGGGCCAAAAATAGGGCATGCGGAGGCCAAAAACATGGCATGCGGAGGCAACAATAGGTGATGGCAATCCCTGCAGTCTGAAATAGCTGATCATTGGGAGACTGACCCAATCAACAATCAGCTGCTTGTAATAATCATTCCACCGATGTGTGAGCAGAGCTTCAGCAACATTCATTGTATAAGACACACAGACATTTCCACCCACTTTTGGGGGTGGAAAAAGTGTGCCTTATACTCCAAAAAATATGGTAAATACTTTTATATTACACTTGAAATTCACCACAGTCCAGAGATCTCCAATGTACATGCAAGGTATATCCTTTTGTAGAATATCTACCTTGTAGTATTTTCCTCTTCTTTTTGAATAACTGATACATAAGCTTTAAAAGTTTGTGTGGTGCTTAATTCCCCTTATGGGAACTGGTGCATGATTAGCTGGGGGCTAGAGGCTAAAACATTTGAAGAACAGTTGCAGGAATTGGTATGTCTAATCTAGTGAGAAAAAGGACTAGGGGTGACAGCAGTGTTTCAATATTTGATGGCTGCCACAAAGAACAGGGGATCAACCTATTTTCCAAAGCAACAGATGGCAAGACAACAAAAATGGATGGAAATTAATCAAGGAGAGAAACAATCTAGCACTAAGGAAAGATTTTCTGATGTGAGAACAATCAACCAATGGAACAGGTTTCCTTCAGAAGTTGTGGGAGCGCCATCACTGGAGGCTTTTAAGAAGAGACTGGACTGATAACTGTCTAAACTGGTGTAGGGATTGGGGTAGTAGATCTCCAAGGTCCCTTCCAGTTCTTTTATTTTGTTGGCCATAAATAAGATGTTTTTAGTGGCTTATTTGACTCAAATACTTCTTTGAATTGGCCCAAAGTAGAGCACGAGTCTTTTTGTATTTTGTATCATAAGATAGACCTACTTCTGTTTGGGTATTGTGCCTGATTCTCTGATCTGTTATTTTATGTTATGTCTTTAAAAATATGTAGGTATGGTAGCTACGCTAAATAATAGGAGGAGATTTTGCTAATTGGAGCTTGATGCAGTTAGCTGATGTTTTTGTACTGCTGCATATGATTCCACTCAATGTGGCTTGTTTCACAACTATGACAGAAAGAAATAACAAGTTAGAGCATGATATGGCAGGCCAGCCACAGAAAGCCATCACCAAAATAATTGACAGCGTGGTGAACAAATTATTTTCTCAAAAAGGCTAGGCAGGCCCAAATTAACACAGCTTTCTTTCTCTTGCCCCGTTAAAATATCAGAAGTCTCCTAAAACAAAGCCACAAGGTACTAACACTAATTGCCAGTCTCCTTAACTGAACTGTCTAGCCAGTCAGGAGTACGGATGACTAAGAATAAATTTTGTAAGATTCGTTCCATCAGCGACGACGCTGAATAAAGCAGGCACTTTCCAGCGTGCCCAAACAGGACACAATCACAGCCGCTCTGCAACCTTGAGCCGCCTGTAACTTTCCTCGCTTTTCCACCGGCTTAGAAACGCGTGCGCACGCGCACCTGCCCCGCTGCTCTCTACTGGACGACGGCTTCCTCCTTTCCTTTCACTTCTTTTTGGGCTTTCTCAGGTAAGGATGCTGAGAAGAGGGCCAGCGAAAGAAGGGTGGGATGACCGGGCGGACTGCTTCGTCGAGGGTCCCTGGGGGGCATTTTGTAGGAAAGTCAAAAACTCTCCCTTCTAGCCGCCACACTTCCTCCCGAACCTCCTGCTTTTGCCATGTCGGCGGCGCGAGAGAACAGAGCGAGACCCAGCGCCCATTATGGTTGCCCATTATGATGTCGCACGGCCGCCCGTACGGAGGGGTAATCATTGCCCATTGATACGGAGGAGTAATCGGCCTGCTATTTATGAAGCCCCGGATCTGTCCGAATTATCAGGACTGTTTCTATTCCGCCCTGTTCGGTGCGCACCTCACCCAAAAGAAGCCGATCAGCTTAGGAGGAACTTGTGTGGGATAAAAACCAAGCTGAGAAAGCAACGTGAGGTGTCGATGTGCAAGAAGCGCTATGTTGTTCAATTCTGTTGCATTAACTGTGACTGTGATTTTATGTGGTTTCTGGGAAAATGTGCTCGTGTTGGGTAAACGTGCATCGCAACGAAACCTATACTGAGACCGGGTATTTCCAGAAACCGGTTCCTTATTTGCATAATTTGTGCAGTGTATGGTGCAACTTTTCGTTTCCATTCTTTCTCCACACAGACTAACGAAACATAATGGCTACTAACGATGCTCTGAAGAAAAAGACAGAAGACAAGCAATGTGCAAAGTAAGAATTAAACGGAGCTTAGACACAATAGCTCAACTATCTATCTATCTGTCTGTCTTGTCTATCAATCATCCAACAATCCATCATAAAAATAGGTATTCTAAAAAATACAGGAGCAAAGTATGAGAAGTACCACTGTGTTTATTATAGTAATATTCTTGTTTATTGATTTTGAAGGGGCATTTTTGAGAACTCCAAAATATTCAATTTCCCTCTAATATATGATGAAATTACTCCTCAACCACAGTTCAATAGGTGGTTTGGCAATTTCCATAAATAAAGTTTCTGAAAAAGAATGGCATCAAAATGTTTTACACTGAGTAAAACTTAATCTTTTCAATGTCTTGACATAGTAAATAAGGAAGTTGATTGTACAAAGATGCACTGTATTCATGATGATATCAATGAAATCATTTTTTTCAAGAAGAGATGTACTAATTTAGATACTACACTAGCCTTGGTTGAATATACCTATTTTGAGATTATGAATCTATTTAACTGTTTATTGATAGAGATGCCAGAGTTTGTGTCCCTAATCCACACCTTAAGAAAATGAAAGATGACATCTTATATCATTTTGCCCTTGAGACTAGTACTCATGATTTTCCTGCCTTATTTGGAGATATAAAGGTAAGAAAGAAAATGGCTCTAGACTGTTAAATGAAAGCAATTGTTTTCCCTTTCCATTCTGTATTTAAATCCTATAAAAGTTTTTCTTTTTTCTTGTGCTACTATATCAGAAATTGGTAAAGATAAAGTTTGCAGAATCTACTTAAAAACCAAATAACCTGGAGCAAGAAAAATAATAGCAAGGGGAGGAGGCTAGTCATTCTCTACTCATATTTTATGTCCCACCAATCATTATATCAAACCAGTAGTCTCATCAAGAGATAGAGTGGGGGAGAAACACTTTCTCCAAGAATGCAGACATTAACAGATATCATGTTCCCATATTGGGTACTTTAAAGACTTAATCAAAGACTGGGCCTTTGTCCTAGTCCTACTATTTCTGTGTTCTTCCCAAGTAATAAACATGCCACCAAATGAGCAAGGTGAAGACAACATGTATCATCAATTATTAATAAACTGGAACTCTTCTTATGTCTCATCAATGGCAATGCTAAGTTAGCTGAAATTATTTTGGACTAATAGAGATTACTTAACTTTTTAAATGGGGTCTTTCTTTCACTTTCTTCCTGGAGGCCACTAACCTCATTTCAAAATGCTTTGGAAGATGTTTTAAATGAAGTGCAGTCAAATAAAATGGATCCCTTGTTATACAGATTCCTCAAATTACAACTGGTCACTTGGAGACTGTCTGAAGTTATGATGGATCCCTGAAAAGGATGATTTGGGAATATTGGTATGAATGGATTGAGTGAAGACAGATTACATAATAAACAGTAAAAGAAGATAAGCAGTAGTTGTAGTAAATATATATTCACATAACATATTAGTTGTAATATCACACAAAATGTTACAAATGAAAAACCACAATCTGTCATTGTTGAAGGCCTTTTAATTCTTTCTATGTTGTTTGTTTTGTTTTAATTGATAAAATTAATAAAGTTTGTATAAAAAAAAGAAAAGAATTTGAAATTCCAGTAGCTGCAGCAGTCCCAGATTACATGAAGAAAATTTGGATGCTTGGCCATCCACCCGCCCTTATGACTGACCACAGGGATGCTGTACCTATCTCCCCCACATCATATTCCCACTAGCTCCACACAGCCCTTGGGCTGATTCCCACTCTATTGTGTCCCACTCCCTCCTTCCTGTTGCCCATTATCAATCAGAGACTTACCTTTTATTATAGATCTTCTGGAAGCAGCTGGTGCACTGCACAGCCTTCATACACAGTAAATATGAATTCATATGCAATAAATTACAGCTCCCAAATTTGGTGCCTGCTTTCAGGATAGAGCCACATGCTTCCACTATGTAGGAAGGCCATGTGGCACAATGGCTGCTTGTGGAAGAAAAGTGACTGATCAGTCACCCAAGGACTGCAGTGACCATAAGGGGCCAGAAGCACAGCAAAGAATGCCTCAGTGAGTGCAGGAGGCCTTGGGAAACCTGGGGCCAGCTATATATGAGCTGGGGTGTTGCTGCTGTGTAAGCCAGTGCCTGTTCTAGACCTTCCAAAGCCTCCTTTACCCCCAAGGCACCTTGTGCTCTGCTTAGTGATCTGTGTGGTTTCTTAATGGCTGCAGTGGGGTGGAGATTGCTAAGTGAGATGATTACATAGATGCTTCTCTTAATGACCATTATGACTTGCAACTATAATGGGCAGGCTCCTTTATGTTCTAAGTCAAGAACTACCTATACAGTAAGCTTCTGCATCTACCAGTTATTACTTCCAAATACTTCTGTCACATTCTTATGCCTTTCTGCCAAAGAATGCTTACACTGAAATACCTATATAGGCTGCTTTCAAGGTATTGACGGGGAAATATAGTAATAATCTACATGAAAATTATTTATGAATATGCTCTATGGAAAAATAGAATCAGCTACATATATATTATTGAATTTTGCTATGTAGTGTTCTTAGAGCAAGATCTTCAAACTTGACAACTTTAAGACGTGTGGACTTCAACTCCCAGAATTCCTGAGCTAACATGACTGGAAGAGGAATTCTGGAAGTTGAAGTCCACATGTCTTAAAGCTGTCAAGTTTGAAGATCCCTGTCTTAGAGAGTGAAGTTAATCATGTCTAATAATAAACCACTTGAGTTAGCTTCATCAAGCAACTCTGTGTTTTCTATTTAAAAGATCAGTATTTCAAGTTTCTAGAATCAAAAAAAAAAGTGATTACATTGCACCTTAAAAGTTTAAAACATTGGAAGACACATCCTAATGGGTACATAAAGAATTTAGCTTAGGCATGGAATCTTGCTGGGTGATTTGAGACTTATCATTCTCTCTTAGCCCAACTCACTTCATAAGCTATTGTGTGGAAGAAAGGAATATTAGGTATGTTTGCTAGCTTGAATTATAAAATTAATAAAGCTAGGATTAATTTTAAAAAATGCATGCTATGGAATTAGAAATTGCTGAATCAAAAACAATCCACTGGTATGTTCAGTTTTTGTTATGAATGGAGCTTTTATAAAATACGCTTTATATTTTAACTTTGATCTTTGATCATATAAAAATAAATCCATGAATTGTTTATCCTTGCCTTCAAAAATGGAGTCAGTTATCTGTTATAGAGACCTTAGAAATCTAGATTTTGGTTCAACTGTTCAATCATGAAAAAAATCTATGTAGTTGCCAGAAATAAAAAGGAACTTGATAACACAATCTAGCAAATCAATCAGTTGTTCAGTCGTTTTTGTGACCTAATAGATATAATTTTACAAGCATTATCTGTAACCACTTGTAAATTCATGCTTGTGTCAGCAGTGATAGTACCATGGAACTTTGTCCTCTATCATCTTTTTTTATTTCTTTAATTTTTCTAAGTGTTGGAATCTTTTCAATTATTCTTGCCTTAAATATTCAGAATAATTAGGTTTCAGTTTCAATATAAATCCTTCCAGTGAGCAACTTTCTATACAATATATTTCAGATAAAAATTAAATAAATTAATATGGCAGTACAGAGCTTTGGTACAATCAGGCTTAACATAAATTTGAGTTCCTGTAGATTAGAAATTTGAAAACTTAATTTCTCCTGCTAATGTAGTCAACTGTGAGCAGCAGGCCAAGGATGAAAAATGGTAGATGCTGTTATCTACAAAATTTGGGAGAGACACACAGGTTGCTACCCACCTTCCCTGTTTTATGTGGATTGAAAACACTTTGGCAAACGTATGGCAAACGTATTGACCAAGTATGTATTCTAATCTTACATACATAATATTTTCCTATAATAAACACTTGAAGACATTAATAATGCTGCATAGTTGGGCAACATCTAAAAATCATTTTAATTCAGGTAGTTTTTGAAATCATCATTTTTAATAGTGCACATTGAAAGTGTAAATTTTTCTAAGAATGTGCTTTATTTAATTCTGCTTAGTTTGTATGTGTTGGAGGAAGTCCTTCACGGATGAAAACTTTTATTACCTACATTGCTGAACTTCTGGATATTGGAAACCCTGGTTATGACTATCCCAATATATGTGCTGGAACAGATCGGTATGCAATGTACAAAGCAGGACCTGTACTGTCAGTCAGTGTAAGTATAGTGTGTGTGTGTGTGTGTGTGTGTGTGTGTATGTATATATATATATATATATATATATATATATATATATATATA